TTTTTCTGTGAATGATTGAATGATTGATTGAGTGTGAGTGAGTGAGTGGGGGGGGGGGGGGCTTTGTGATGGGCGCCAAGGCCTCGATCAAACACTTACAATCAACTCAGAGTCGAATGCACCAACATAGGGGATCTTCTTTAGAGCGTATACTTTATCGACTGATGACTTTTGTTTGACAACAAAGACCTCGCCATATGAGCCATTGCCAACTGTTGACAAAATATCAAAGCTGTTGACATCAATCTTATCACTGCCATCCAATTGATAATTGAAGTCCTCCTCCTGTGGCTCAACGGGTATATTCAATCTATTCTCCAATGATGATATATTCATATTTCTATTCTATGTTTGATTGATTGATTGATTTAGTTGATAGAATGATTGATTGATGGAATGAAGTTAGTTATTTATGATTGATTGGATTGGTTTGGTTTGGACCGGACCACCGGATCAATCAATTGAGGTCAGGTCAGCTCAGCTCATACCTTGTTCAAGTAATGACTCGTTTCGTCAGTGTCGTGTCACGTGATTGGTAGTAGTAGGGGTGTGTGGTAGTGTGGTGGTATCCGAGAGTGGTAAGATGGATGGACGGGATTGGTGGATAGGTGGGTGAGAGTGCTAATGCCGAATGTGTGATTGGTGTGTAGACCGTGAGTGAAAGTGTTTGGTGGTTATAATAAAGTGAGATAAAGGATATATTAAGATATAACTATATATATATAATACTCTTTTCTTTTCTTTTGTTGATGTGTGTTGTTACAAATAATGTAATTGTATAATTGTATAATTGTATATATGTTATATGTATGACCAATCAATCGTTTTCTTATGATGTTATTGTTAATGAATGAATGATGGTTGTTCGTTGGTTGGCGGGTTGTTATTGGTGATATGTTCTGCACCTCGAGGACAGGTCTCGCAATCGTCTTTTGCCTTTGGGTAATGGGGGTATATGGGTGGTTCGTGGGGGGGCCAACAATGCGAGTGGGATGGGATGGATCGAGGACAAGAAGTGTGATGTTGATCAATTCGGCCGTTGGTTGGTTGTGTTTTGTGTTTTTTGTGGTCGTCTCCAAATAAATAATTTTAAAGTTATGAATAAATATTAAAAATTATTATTTTGTTTGATATTCTCTCTTTGATTGATTGAATGATTGTTCGTGTGTGTGTTTTTGATGACTCAGTGTCGACCAGGTGGCATCAGAGTCTATTTATGTCTTGTCTGTTGTGTGTGCGTCTCTATGATGTTCTGGTATTCCCAGGATTACTATAATATCTCTTTCTCTTTACTTCTCCAATAATGAATAATGTATTAAAGTAATTTATGTAACTTTGTCTCTTTCTCTCTCTATTAAATCATAATAAATAACTTAATGACACAATCTATAAACGTTCATTAATAATAACAACTCAACAATGACTGAATGACTGATTAATCAATCAATAAGGTTACTGATCTGCAGATCACGTCAGCCCTTCGCTCTCTTCCTCACACACACTGTACCCATAAAGTGTGCATTCTGTGTAGTGTTCTCAATCGATTCGAACAGTGGGCAGAAGCGTGACCTGACCTAGCCTTCTGGGTCAGTGTTGTGTGTGTGTGTGTGTGTTGTGGGTTAGATTCGTTTAATGAGTGTACACACTTTGATCAATCAAACAATCAAAGTGTTTGTGTGTGTGTGTTTGTATTATTAGATGTAATTGTATCATGATGGATGCAATACGTCAATAATGACGAGAGTCTTTGGTCTCCCTATTCGTTATTACATGTTATGACCTCTACCAACTTCTGTAAATCACCAAGAACATGTGTACATGTACTAATTATCTCTCTTTTGCTGTGTCTTTCATTCTTTCTCTCTTTTGAAAAAGTCCCAGGGTTTGTTTGAATCGAAACAAGGTCAACTCTCTCTTTGAAAGTTCACTTTGACATGATTTGTTTGTACTATTATTATTTGTTATTGGTTGTTTTGATTATCGCTCAGTTCATTGTTGTTGACCAATGAGATTGAGAGAAGGTACCTACCTTTGTCAGTGATCATTAATAACAACAACAATCAAACTATCATTTATATTAATTCAAACAAACTTAAATTCAAATAAAATTGTATTACCACAAGGTAAACATCATTGTTTGTGTCACAGGGTGCGTGTGGAGAGTGAGCGAGGGAGAGGGGAAAGAGTGAGTGCTTGTTTGCTTGTGTGTGTGAGTGAGGAGATACAAAGAGAGAGATAGAATTGAGTGTACTACATTGTAAATGTGAGTCGTGTTATTATTACACATACATACATACAACATTCATACATTCATACGTTCTATTATATTATATTATATTATATTATTATAGATATCTAGATAAAGTTTATAATTGAAACTCATCTAAAGTTTATTAGTTGGCTAGGTTTGGACATTGTTAAATGCATCCATCTTTTAATAATAATAATAATGTATTAAGGCAACAACAACAACAACAGCAGCTACATCAACAACAATTGTATTATCAACAACAACAACAACCTCAGGTACAACAACAACAACAACAACAGCATCAACAACATGACATTCATACAATGAATCACATGTTGAATCAAATGAGTGGACATCACCAACAACAACATCAAATGTCAATACCAAATGGTATTGATCCATTCCAACAACAACAACAACAATATATAAATAATAATAATAATAACTTTACACATCTTCATAATAATCCATCTTATTACAACAATAACAACAATAATATAACAGATGATGTAGTAGTATCACCTACTTCATCTACAACAACATCTACATCATTGGCATCGTCAACATCATCTTCATTGTCATCGTCCAGAAAGAAAGGAACAATCAAAGAGATAGTCGATGAGAATGATCTAGATCAATCGATAAGCGATACAGTCGGCGGTGTACAACTACCAATTAATAGCGATGATGACGAACAACATGAACAACAATGTCAGGGTATTGTACAACATGGTGATGATGATCATCATCTACTTAGTCATCCAATGTTGGGTGAGCCACTACATCATCAACAACATCACGACCTATATATACAACAACAACAACAACCTTTATACAACAACAACAATAATAGTCGACTTCAACAACATCCAGCTCAAGTGATGGCACATGGAAATGATATGTCTCTCGCATGGAATCAACCAAACACTCATCTACATCATCCAATTGGTATGATGCAGCAACAACAAATGCAACAACAGTTACAACATCAACAACAACATCAACAACAACAGTTGGGTGGTACGTACAGCTTCAGCAGTAGCAGCAGTAGTATAAGCAGTATTAGCAGCAGCAGCAGCAGTACAAGTAGCTTCTCATCGAGTATTGTCGGACCGCAACAGGACAGTCTGTTCTACAGCACTTCGTCATCAATGTCCTACGGCAATGGCATGCCGATACAGTTCAGGTCGTCGCAGACACAGGTCAACGGCGCGTTTGTCGAGCAGCACAACATTGCCATCGACGGACAGGACCAGACCGAGAAGATGTCCATCTACCGCGGCATTGGCGATCGAGCGAGGATGGTGCAGCGCGAGCGCAAGAGTGACGGACTGTTCGAGTCGTCCGAGACCGTCAAGAACATCCCGCTGGAACAGGGCGAGCAGTTTGATCATGAGTTTGCTCACAGAGTACCGTTCCAAATGCGAAGTCAGTATGGCAATGGCAGTGTCAATGGCAATGTCAACAACAACAGTGGAGGCACTGGTGGCTTTGGACATCGAATAGACACCTCTTCCGGCACCAACTATTGACGACGCGACGCGACAGCCTTTATATTTATATTATATTTATATATCACTCTCTATTTTAACATCCTTCACAGTCCGCTTGCTGGCCAACCGGACAGTAACTCCTCAAACCTGTACAGTCTAGTGTGATCTGGTCCCGCAGTGGCCTTGCCAAACGTCATTGAAGCAGTCACACATTGTTTGAATCGAGCTCTCTCCAATCTGTTGTGCAATAGACTCTGTTGGCGTATCCAATCGCAGTGTGTGGTGGATGGAGATGATGGTTAGATGACTCCGAGTCTCCCTCCTTCCCTCCTGTAACCATCCATCTACTCACATTCAACCGAGTGTCCAACTTGTAGGCCAGGTAATTGCAAGTGATCATAACGAATAAATCATAGTCCTTGGTCTCGGTGTTGAAGTCTAGTAATCCATTAAGTATTGTCTCTTTGTCTGTTATGTTGGAACTATGAAGGACTTGTAGCAAGTCCTTTAGATGTGCCTTGAATTCATTGGATTGAGTTGAGTTGACATTGATATAAGGACATCTGAACCATGTTATGTAGTCAACAAGTATACCAGTATCATTATCATCATTGTTCTGAACAGGTGGTGTAGTAAGTAATAGTTGAATGGAGAGGTGGATGTACTTGATAAATAATACATTGAGTCGCCATATGTCTGCCAATATCCTGCGACATTGATGTCCATCCTTCTGTTGAGTCAACAACATATGTCTGTTGTTATTCAGACCATCAATGAACATTGACAACTCCTTTGTTGTTTGGAATCTATGTTGATCCATACTCTGATAGATCATCACAAGTTGTTTAAGGTGATGGGGATAGTACTATGACATACATTTATTAGTGATGGATGGAGAGTGGATGGAGGATCGATGGATGTACATACATGGAAGTTACTAAGGTAGTTGGATAACAATGATCGTTGTTGTATGAATAAGTTGTTTAGATTACAGATTGAGTCTAGGATGTGGAAAGAGTGACATTGAGTCCAAATGTCGACCATGTATTCAATAACCAAGTTGAACATATAAGGGTGTTCGATTAGGCATTGAATGATTCCAATGTCATTGAATTGATCCATCATTGATTGTTGTTGTTGTTGTAATACAATGTCATTGATCTAAATGAAGGTGATTAGTATCATCATGCTGATTCAAGAGTGTCCTAATTCACTTACATGTTTGAACAATAGACTTGGTACTCTATTCCATATCATGATCCTTTGATTGATAGTCAGTTTGGGTATGTTGTAGAGTTTGCTAATGAGTTGAAGATATGATGATGATGTGGATGAGGACTCCAGTACCCAACCAAGTGTTGTATCATCAATATCTTGTAGAGTGTCTCCACTACCTTGTATCAATTCCATATACTTGATCAATTGATTGGCATTATTATCTGATCTATTTGTTGGTTTAATACCATTGTTCCAGACTTGCAAGTGATGTCTTGTCTCCTCACGTAATAAGTTCAACATCTCATTGTTTAGTACATCGCTAGATACTCCAAGTGAGTCTGGGATGACCAATCCATGAGTGACGTTGCTGGTGCTGCTGTACAGTCTTCCATGAAGAACCTTTGTTGACCAAACACGTATCCTATTGTGCGCCAGTATGTCAGTCATTGCCATGTGATGAGTGTTTGTTTGAAGATGATATATCTTACTGTGTTGCAACTCTCTCACTACTGCTACTGCTACGACTACTAGTACTGGATTCAGTTGTTGCTTTGGTGTAGAATAGTAGTAGAAGGTTTGATATGATCGAGGATAGTTTGGACAATATGGATGGGTTTGGATTGGTAGTTGGAGGTGTCAAGGGAGATATACTAAGTGCGGACTGCTTCGAGAGATTAGTGAGCAATAAACCAAGTTGTTGGTATTGCTCCACAATACTATCCAATGGCATTTGTTCAATAGTCTGCTGACATTAGAGAAGGTGGATAGTCAGGTCATTCAATCATTCAATCAATCATTTTCAAACAATAACATACTTGACTAACGTCAATAAGAAGTTGATATAACTCATTCAAGTCACCTGAATCATCACTTAATGCATTGTAATTGCTCTGTGATGTCTTAACATGCCACTCAAGTATCTGTTGTTGGTGTATCTGTTGTTTCTGCGACATGATTAGAATGAATGATAGAGACGACATCATGTTTTTAAGTATGTGTTGCCGACAAGACAAAGATGAAGACACGATGATGACAATGAGTAATAGTAATATATGCTACATTGGGCGTTTGTTTACTCCCTATTCGGTTGTTGGTATCAATGCACCCCGCTGGCAAGCTGGCAAGCTGGCAGGCGGCGTGGCTGTGATCGATGAATGAATGAATGAATAGAGTCGAGCATGTTCTTGCTCACTCACAAACTCACTTCACTCACTCACTAATCACTTGCTACCAGGTACGGGTACTGCTGCGCTTGATTGTGGTGGCTGAGCGACACCTGGTTGTAGTTGCTGTTGTTGCTGGGCGGCGATGAGCGCTGGTGGCTGTGTATTGGCATAGAGGTAGTCAAGTATATTGGTGATGTTTTGCATATCGTTCTCGATTGATCTGGACCAGTTCTCGACGTCGCCAATCTCCTTGAGTGCTGTGTTGAAGTGATCGATCAGTGACAGCCATTGATTCGTCTGCTTTGAGAACTTTGCCGTATTCACCTGCAATGTCCTTGCCTCTGTCTCCAACTTCTTCTGATTAGCAAACACGCATGCCACTCCCTGATTAACACTATCCATTAATCCATTCGTTACTGCTCCTATAGATGTAATTGCTTCTTTTCTCAATGTCTCTGTTTGTTTGATTGATTGAATGAATGAGTGGATGTCATTGAATGAGTGTGTCAATCGATTGACATGTTAACATACCATTCTCATCTTTGATCTTGTTGACATGACCTTGATGTTCCTTTACAAGCTTGGTTAACATCTTTTATGTATCTGTATCTTTATTTGTATCTCGCTAACTCAAAGTAGAAGAAGAAAAAGTATCTGGAATCTTCAAAATCATTCAATTTCAATCTTTTGTCAAGTCTTGTTTCACGCTCATTCATCCATTTATTTTTTGAAGATAGAGATAGATACAAGTGATAAGAGTAGTATTAATACAATTGATATTGATGATGATGGTCGGAGGATTGAAGATAGAGACGATGTTGAACATGCAGGGAATGGTAATCCAATGTTTCCACATGTCTTTACATCATGGTATGAAGCAGGTGTACATTTGTTTCGACAGAGAAGATCACCGCAATACTTAAACAGACAACTCTGTGAAGAGTATCCTCCATTGTAGTTGGTCTGACACTTGTTCCTCACCGCACAATTGGCAACATCATACATCGATTGTGCACATGATCCATCCAGTTTGATATCCATTGCACATTGTCTGTTGGACATGTCGTTGGTCGGACAGACGCATGTCTGTGAGTAGGTACATGTGTCATCATCTGGCGAGTACTCACATCTTGTACCATTGCCTTGTTGCGACACTGGTGACAGCGAAGGTATCTGACAGGTCATGTTATAATAGTCATTTCCCATGCATAGCAGACCTTGCCCTGGGTCACAGTCAACGGCGAGCACGGTGCCGTTGAATGGTTGGGACACGTCGTATGGAAAGCATGGTGCGCCAAGTCCACGTGAGCCAATTGTGAGACATGCCGTTGTGTTCCTCGTTGTCGTGTTGTACGTGCACACCAGACCAATGTCGCAGCCATAGTTGTTGATAAGGTCACACTCTGCATTGAGTGGCAGTGTTGGTATACATGTGCTGTTGCCCAGTGTCGCGTTCCTTTTGCAGAACGTGCCAAATGGACAGTCCTCGGATGAGACACAGTAAGTGTCGGCTTTGAGATGACACTTGCCATCATAACACTCCAACCTTGGTGTGGCACATGATGCCGAGGTCCTACATGTCTCGCCTGCCGTCGCATACTTTATGTAGTGACACGATCCATTACCTGATGGACCAAAGGGGCCCAAACATTGCAATGTATATCCACATGTTTCTTCATAATATCTTGGATGAGGCGAACATGATTCACCATGTCCAAGCTGTCTAACACAGTAGTCATCCTTCAAGTTTGGATTATACAAACAAACAGATCCAGTCAAACACTGGGATGTTGACCATTTCGACCTGTCCAAGTGATTGATGGATTGGCATAAGTGTGAGCGAGTCAAGTGACCATTGAATGATAATGGTAGTTGGGATACTAACGAGTTACACTTGGCACCGATTAAGTCACATGTTTTGAAACTGTTTGGTCCACATGGTTGAGCAGAGGTGTACAACAACGTCAATGTTAGGAATACTAAGGTAAATAATAACTTGTTATTCATTATGAATACATTTGATTGATTGATTGAATGATTTAGTGAGAGATGGATTGATATTGATTGATTGATTCGAAAAAGATATTAATAGATAGCTGACGTGGACTCGCCTCATTATTGATCAAGTATTGCCAACTTTGGCTGATTTTGTGAAGGGGTGGGCAGTGCCTTCACAATTCTGTGTAATGGGCATCCAAAAAGAAGATATTATTTTATTTGATTATTATTATTCTATTATTATGGATGTTTATAACTATTACCTTGGAACCATTCCAATCAATCAATCAATCATGCATGAACTTGGACTTAAGTTACATGAGGACACAATCACTTTGTTTTGGTTGTTCGGTACCGGAAAGATGTTTGATTATTGTGGCCATGTCAATTAATCCACAGTCGAGCATGTCTTCGTTGTGACTTAGGAACACATCTGATGAGAGTCTCATCAAGTTGAGCCTTCCACCGCGATTGTTTTGAAGAGTTAGGTGGACAATTGTTGAGGGCAACTTCTTAAAGAATGTGATGTAATCCGCTGACTGATTACTGATTGTTGTCCAGACCAATGATCGTAGTGACAGTGGTAGTACCTTGAGATTGAATTCATTGATGTAATCATAGAGACTCAGCTCTGTCAATGATGTTGGTAGTACTCCACTTCCAATCTCATGTTCATAGCCATACAAAGAGAATGATGTGATTGAGTCTGGCAACATGCCTTTCTTGAGCCTGAACTTGCTGTCCTCATCCAGCCACAGTTCAAGCTTGGTGAGACCCTTTGGAAAGGCGGTGATCGTCGCTGAAAACAGTGCAGACACCAAGTGATCAATAGTGTTTGGTAGTGAAGACAGGTCGATCACAATGTTCTCATCATCATCATCATCACTTGAGTTGCGTGATAGGTTCAGCTTGCGAATTGATGGGTATGTTTGTGATGTTATTGCCGAGACATTGACAACATCAGTAACATCCAATGAGGTGATGTTGGGATATGTGTTCCTGGCGAAACGATGTAGATTGGGCGCAGTCAGGAGCACCGATTTCAGAGGTGCATGTACCACTGCATGTCCATATTGTGGTGGCAGTCTCAGGTCTGTCAGACTTGATGGTAGGATACCCAGTGGGTGATTGAAGAGCTGACCAGGGAGGACGTCATCATCAGCATCCTCGACATCCTCTAGTCTGACAAAGAGAAGTGATTTGATTGTTTGAGGTAGCACACCATTGTCCAAAGGATGATTGTACCTCAGTCCCAACTCCAGCGTCTCCAGGGAAGCGGGTAGTGCTCGAGACCTGATTGGATGTGTGGAATTATAAACCAGATTCTTCAATGTAGTTGGTAATGTACCAGGTGTAATAGATTGATTGAATGAATGTCCCAAGTCGAGATAGACCAAACCGGGAGGTAGGTCCCCATCCATGATTGGTCTGTTATATCGACAAAGTCGTAAACTCTTTAGATTGCTTGGCAAAATACCAGCCAGTGAGCCATTGTATTTAGTGAGTGTTAGACCACTTAATGTCTTTGGAAACACAGTTGATACCAATGTATCAGATGTGAGTGATGTAGGCATACTCGCCAAATCATTGATAATGATATTCTTGTAATGTTTCAATGAATATCTATTACTTTGTACTGAAGTTGATATCAATGTACTGCTACTTGTCATGTGATCATTGTTGAAGTACAAGTATCCATCTCTTTGTTCATGCAGTCTTTTAGAGACCAATGACAACACCAATCGATCTGAATTGTTATCCAGATTAGACACAAGATGTCTCAATATAATGTTGGGTAATGTATCCATCTTTCCTACGTCTTCTTCATTTATCTCTATGTTTTGTTTGTTTGAAACAAATGTCTTTTTGTATGTTGCTATTCATGGTTTTGATTGGACTGGACACGATAGAGTGATCACAAAAGATGTTTGATCTTATATAATATCTAGATATCATTGTAATAAGGATCATTGACCACGTTTATCATTTTTACTTATTATTCAGGATTAGGTCAGATGAATGTTGTAACCAAGAGATAAAGGAAAGAAATTGGAAAGTTGTAGATTCAAAAGTCATTTGATTAGTTGGAAGTTCATGCGCTGTTGTATCTTTTTATGTTGTTCATTTATTAATGAGGTATGATTGTAGTTATGTGCTTCACCAGGCCCATGTGATCACATAGTGGCAGCAAGGGCTTGAGTGTATGTTAGTATTGAATCTGTAAGCCATACGGGCACTAACATGTTGACAATGGAAAATGGTGTTTTATTTTATTTCCCATAGCAAAAGCTGAAGTTGGGGACATTGTCCCAATGTCAACTTCACCAAAATTGAAGTGTTTATGGAAGAGAGGAGTTTGTCTCCGTCAAGAATTTGTTTCTTCCAGTTTGAGGTGTGATGATGGTGGAAAGGAGTGATTGTGCAGGATATAGGTTGAGATCCTGTTTGGATATGACACCATGCTTGGGATGGTGGTGATGCTGAAAGATGGCACATTCTAAAGTGACACCGTGGTACTGTTGGAATGTAAGTTGAATGCTTATTGATGGCTCTAGAATTGTACTTACAGTGATGTGAACAACATAAAAAGATGACTATTTGCTCCCAGAACTTTGGGAGACACTAAAGCTCAGAGCAACTCCGGAGACAATTGCCGCGTCATGACGCCTGAGCACACGTGACGCATCAATAAATCTCAGTAGAGTACCGATGCGTCTTGCGCAACCGCAGAGCTATGGATGAAGGTTAGTTGTATATTCGCCACAATCGGTTCTCGGAGCATACATACCATTGAATGTCTCATCATCTTCAACTGTGACGAGTTGTTCTTCATTATTATACCTTATCCATAATTTTTGGTTGACTGCCAGTTGTTGTGATCCTTTTGGGGCAGCAGGGGCTTGAGTGTGTATGTTAGTATTGAAGACATTGCGCCGAAACAATATTTTTTGTACTTACTATTGATCAACTTGTTGAGATATGCAGCCAACGGATCAGGATCATCCTCACTGGGGGCTGTTGCAACGGCATTCACTATGAACGGTGCCTTGTTTTCATTATCTTCTAGGAAATTGATGCACTTCTTCTTCTCAGGGGTGAGGGAGGACCTATTGATTGCCTCGATGGCCTTGGTGACAGGGTCGGTCATATTGAATGTACAGATAAGTAAAGAGAGATAAGTGATGAGTGTGTTGAGTAGTTAGTGCCAACTTCACTTCTTGTAAAATAAAAAAAAAAAATAATAATAATAATAATTGAATTTGTTTGTTGTTATGAGCTCATGTGAATCAATGGACAAGGATGGTAGATGGGAGTTGAAGGAAATGTAATGCCAACCATTGTTTATGGTTGCTCATTCATCTCAATATCTTCATTACTAATTGGTGGACCATTGACTGATGTTGCGTTACTACTGCCACCGCCACTCAATCCACCACTGCCACTGCTGAGTACCTTGGGCTTGAGGAATTTGAGATAGAATACCATTCCAGCGACGCCAGTCGATACTATTAGTCCTCCAGCGACCACCACTGGAATCATGAACTTGTTGGCCTTCCAGAATGAGGGGAGATTGGCTTTGATCGATCCACGTGGCACCATGATGCTTGGTATAGGGTTGGGCTTGCAGACCACATAGCTGGGCGGACACAGCAGTGACAGACCGAGCACTTGGAGGTTGGAGTTCTTGTCGCGATCCTGGATCGCGCCGCCATCCTTTGGGCAGTCAATGTAACAGTCTCCCAGTTTAACTTGGAGCGTGTTTCCATTGCATCTCGTCTTGAAACACCATGGCAGATCGAATGTGGCGTTGGTGATGGTGAAGCATCGGCTGCTGTCATCATCCGGACCTGATTGTCCTTTGTTGTTGGTGCTGCTGTGGCTGGCGCACAGCGACGCTTGGAAGGGGTCGCGTGCCTTTGACGAGCTAATGAATGGACAAAAGTCAGTGTTGGGTGGGCCGCCCAACGATTGGTTGGCAAAGTGTTGGAAGTAGGGCGGGATGATGGTATTGTTGTAGTATAGCAAGTTACAATGTCCAATGCCCCTGGCATCAGGAGTGCACTTTCTCTGTGTAATTTGTTGGTGGCTCCAAATGGTGGCTGCTGTTGTGCAGTTTGTTAGGTACTCGTGAACATGTACATGTGATTGATTGATTGAGTATATGTCGCGACACCAAGGGATACATACGCTTTGTTGTGTTACAGAAGTATCCCTTCTCGGCTCCCTTGTTCCATTTCTCGCATCGTTCTGTTAGGAATTGACATCCCTCTTCTTGTCCCCACTTGATCTCTTGGGTCATGCTGGTGTCCACGACGTACCATCCCATGTCCTGCAACAGTGACACAGTCAACAGTGAGAGTATATTCTTTGGATCATCCTGCGATGTCATCATCTCAGTGTATGCAGTCCTGGACTCCCAATGTGCGCCTAAATTGATTGAAAAATGATTGATTGAGTGAGTGAATGATTGAATGATCGATCGGCTGAAAGTGAATCAACTTACACAATGGATTGAGAGTGCCGACACCCTGGGATTCAATGTCAGAGAGACATTCGGTCTCAAGCTCGACACCATCACAGGTGGGACAGTTGTAGTAGTCTCGCGCTGATTGGACAAGCCTGGGAGTGGAGAGTTTGGTCACATTCTTTTGGCTAAACACGCCTCGTGGGTTGACACCGCCAAGCAGTGTTTGGGTGACTGGATTGGAGTGTGGAACTCCATTGTGATCCAGGTAGCTGCGGTAGAGATTGGGAGAGAATCCAAGCACGTGAATCATTTCGTGCAGAGTGATTTGAACGGCCTGGGTAAGTGCGCCCTGCGACTTGAACTGGCTGAGTTTGTTCAACTGTTGTGGGGCCAGGTTAATGTAGCCGGCCAGCGGTCGTCCAAACACTGGACGGCCGTAGCTCTCAGTGTCCACGTCAAAGTTACACGGGATGCCAAAGGCGATGACCTCCGTGTTGGGCATTGGCCGCGCCGTCACATAGATGAGCAGGTCGGTGTTTGGCACGCCATTCTCAATGACGTCCTGCGGGATAACGATGCCATTGCCGTCGCCACATTGATTGTTCGTCAGGCTCAGTATGCGAGGGTTGAGCCGCAGTGGCGTCTTGCGTGTCGGTATATATATCAGCTGCTGTATGATCTCGGCGGCCACTGGCAGCGCGTCGTTCAGGAGGAAGCGTTGAAGACGCGGGTTGACAATGTCGTCCGCCGTGCAGCGGATGAAGCAGTTCCAGGCGACTTTGTGGATTCGGCAATCCACAGGTGACTTTCGATTAACGTCACCAAATGTAATAATGTCATTGACCTTGTGGCAATCCCTTGGAGGTAGCGGTGGGCGCTGCGGGCCTCCACCTCCACCACCGCCTCCACCACCCTGTGATTGGTTGGGGCTCATGTATGTGTAGTCGAGCTTGATGCGCATCCGGCTCCAACCGGGGTAGTCCAGTGGTGGCCTTGGTGGCGGGGTAGTCGAGTTGGTGGGGTTGTCATCATCGCTGTCACTGTCACTGTCACTGTCATCGTCGTGCGGGTGACTGCCGTTGCCATGTCCACCATGCCAAGTCCATTTGCGATTCCTTGCATAGTTGATCTCATTATATAACAATCGAGAGACGTTGAAGCAAGATGTAAGGTTGGACACTGGGAAGCCCGAAGTTGTTGATGTGGCCGAAGTGGCTGCGGCGGAGGATATTGAAACCGCAGCAGTTATAGCCGATGATGGCCTTGTGGTAGTCGATGTTGTAGTCGATGTGGACGTGGTTGTAGGTGTTGATGTTGGGACGCGAGTGGTCACTGTGACGGGAGCGGTTGTGACTGAGTCTCCAAAATGATCGATTGCCAATGTTTCACGTTGAAGGAATGGTGATGACACCAATGGAATGAACAACTCCTCTGATGAAGATGAGAATGTACTACTGACACTGTCTGAGTCCTGAGCAGGTTCAATTAGCACCTGTTGTATATCAGCCATGAATGAAGATGACATTGCATCATGACGACACTTGAACAAGTCATAATTCTTATTTCTCCAATTAGTATACAGTGTATCATCGTTGTCTTCATCACTGTCATCGTCGTCGTCGTCATGATGACCATCGTCTTTGTCCTTGTCTTTATCTTTGTATGATTGTCTAAGTAGTATTGACTCTCTTTGTACACGTCTATTATATGCTTGTTGTATTAACTGTGTTATCTTGTCATTGACATTGTGATGATGTGTATGTGTTGGTTCAGGCAATGACAATAACATCACCAACAGTATCCACATGATAACAAGTAGACATGATCCATTCCTTATTAGATACATTGGTTGATAGTGTGATTGATTGATTGATTGATATATAATATAGCAACAAAAGGTGATGTATAATACAATATTGATTGATTGATTGAATATTAATAAATAGGTGAAGTTGTTGATGTTGATGTGAATGAGTTGGAGTTGTTGGAGTTGTTGGAGTTGGTTATGTTGTTGATGTTGTTACAATGTTGTTGTTGGACCTATCCATATGTGAGATCTTTGTTGTTATCTGTTGACCTGGAATGAATGAAATAGAGATAAAGATAAAATGAGATAGAGATAGAATGTTTGTTTGTTTGATTGAATAGTGTCAAAATGAGAGATACACGAAAATGAAAGTTGGACAAAGGTATCAATCACCTCACTTTGTGATTGATTATTATTGTAATTGAATGAATGGAGGACCAGGAAGGACTTTGATTACTTCGTGGTCCCACACATAAAGACAGGTTCACATTCACCCCCAAAACACCTGGCAACTGATGCAAAGGTTAGGCTTTCTCTCTATCTTTTTGTGCATTGTCCTGCACGAAAGTGGTGGAAGTCAGTCTTGGACACCAAAAAAACTCGCAAAATCATCCAAGCCCTTGTACAAAAGAGTCGAGTGTGTGCGTAGTGGATGGGTCACACACATGCCGCATCTGATACCTTCGGTGACACGAACGGTCTGGGGATGGGATTGATCCAAAGTGGAGTGTATGATTGGATAATCATGGAAGAAGCAACGGAAGTAGAGTCAACCTATTGATCGATTTCATTTTGTGTGAGTGAGTGAGTGGGATGGGTTTGATCGATTGATTGGTGAAGGTTTCGCCAGAGTTGACATGTACGACATTGAATGATGGATGGTGTAATGATGTTCATGTGCATGTTCCTGTCGTGTGAAGTTACTTTATATCTTTATGTCTTATTATCTCTCTTCCCAAGGACTACCCTGATGATGATGTTGAAGATGATGGTTTGGTGGCAAAGTAAACATAGTTGATCTGTTGTATACCTTTGCCTTTGGTGGATGTGACGTTTAACTGTTCGGTTGTGAGTTGCCATTCGGTATCCTCGTCCATGTAAAAGTATGGTTCAGCACATGTATTGCGACTGACACACATCATAAATCCACCAGGCTTCAACACTCTATACATCTCTCTCAACAATCTCTTCACCATCTCATTCTCTCCAATCTCTACGTCCAACGTTGACAACAATGCGTCCACAGTTCCCTACATTCATTCATAGTTTGATTGATTGATTGATTGATTGATTGATTGATTGATTGATGGGATAGTTCCAGGTGAGTGATTGATGAGTGATCAGTGTTTGTGGAATAGTTCCAGATGAGTGATCAAACAACGTACTTTATCAATTATACCATCAAAGTGATGATCTGGAAGCTTGGTGTCGGTTGCGTCCATTACTTGGTATTGAAGACAATGTTTGATTCTTGTGTTGCCACTACGATCTTGTCGTGTGATCATTCGTTCGATTGCATTGTTACAAACATCAATGTTGAGTATGGATGTGTCAAGTAGACGATGCTCTGGCATGTCCAACAACAACTCTTCAGCCAACAAACTATTACCACAACCAACATGTAATAGTCTGTATTGCCACGGCTGTTGTTGATGTTGTTGATGTTGCTTTGACTTTAAACATGTTGCCAGATCCTCATCATTTATACGTTTGAGTAGTCTTTCTCTTATATGTTGATATGTGACGTACCATTCATAAGTATCGCCACTGCCCTCTCCAGTCTCATAGAACTCCTCCCAAAAGTCATATGAAGCAGGACTCAATGTTTCATCCTCTACATATATCTCTTTCTTTCTCCCTGATCCTTTTCTAGACATTGTTATATATATAAGTATGTATTATTTGTATGTATGATTGATTGTTTACTCTACCCTTGGTCAAAGTATAAACGATCAGTCGTCTGTCGGCACCCCCACTCAATCACACACACACACACTACACTCGAGTTCCGAACAATCCAAGTCAATAATATCTGATAACGATCAATCATTCTAGCATTATTTGTTACAATCATATATAACTATAAAGATAACTTAAAGGAATCGATATCCCCCAACAAATCAAACATTATTCGTTTCCCGATTTGTAATCTTGATCAATCTCAAATTATTAGATTCAGTGGATCGTCACTTCAAGTGTTCTGACGACCTTCAATACTCAAATCAATCAGTCCATTCGAATCAATCATTCATTGTAACAATACATACAAATAGATACAGATACATAAAGTGTGTGTGACAGAGATGGCAGGCATCTTGTCAACTGTGATGATTGGAGCACTGGCATTGGTGGTAGTCCGATACCGCTATGCACTATTCTTCTCAACATACCTATTGTTCATCTTCTCAGCCATTGCACTGAGTGATGTTATAATGACTGTATCAATTCCACTCTTACTTCTATCACGTAACCTATTCAGGAAGATAACAAACAAGATATCAAACACAGGTATGTCAGTCCAGTCGATCAATCGATCAATCAATCAATCAATCACACACTCACACACATACACACTCGATCAATCAATCAATTGCTTTAAGGTTGGCCATTGTTCACATTGGCTTTTGAGGTACTTGGAAGGAACAAGTTGATATTCACTGGCGATGACTTGTTGGCCGCACAAAAGACTGATCGCAATGCATTGGTGGTACTCAATCATACTTATCACTGCGATTGGTTGCTATCCTTCAGTCTTGGCGAGCGTCTCGGACGCATTGGCAACATCAAGATCGCCATGAAGGACGTGATCAAGTACATCCCATTCGTTGGAGTGGGAATCTGGGCCATGGGCTTCATATTCCTGTCGCGTCGCTGGCAGGACGATCAGAAAAAGATCAACAAGGCCTTTAGTCACTTGAAGCAGGATGGTGAGCCATTCTGGTTCGTCACACATCCCGAGGGCAGTCGTCTCTCTCCCAAGAGCCTGGCCGAATGCCAACGATTTGCTCGCGAGCGCGGCAACGTGCCATTGCTCGAGAACATCCTATTGCCACGACTCAAAGGCTTCGTGTCGTCTGTTGTGGCGCTACGCGACGAGACCGACGCCATCTACGACATGACGGCAGCGTATGCCAAGCCACCCGGTGGATTCATCCAGATGTTGTACGGCAATCACCCATCACAGATACATATACATTTGCGTCGCTTCGACATGGCCAAGCTGCCCAAGGACGAGGCCGAGGTTGGCACGTGGCTATACAACCTCTACAAGGAGAAGGACGACCTACTCAAACATTTCAAGACGCATGGACACTTCCCCGGCGCCCAACTCACGCACATGATGGAGTACCGTGCCTCCAAGTACATCCTCAACATGGTAATGTGGAGTGTGGCCGTGGCCATGTTCATGTACTCCTCTGTACAATTGTATTATTGGTCGTTTGGATTGTAGTCACTCGCGCGCGCGGCCATTCTAAGTTATGGATAATAAATAGTTTGGTTTATTGGTTCTTATTTGGGTATTTCGTTCGTCCAATGTCGGGGATTGATCGATCGATTGATCCCAACGATGAAATGGATGATGGTACTCTTATACAGGGGGGTTGGCAGCGGGAGAAGGCAATGGTCTGCTCTTGGAAGTGATCAACACTTTGGTCTGCGATGGTGGTATCTGTGTTGGTATCTTCTTGATTGCTGGTGCTGGCTTCTTGATCTCAGCGCTGGTAGCGAGATCATCAGAGTTGGCTGACTGATCAGACTCTGTTGGAGCAAAGGTTGAAAGGGGCAGCGATGATGGTGTTGGTGGCTTCCTGACGGGTGGTGAGATAGTACGGCGCTGTCCGCCATTCGCAATCGGCTCCTCTGGTTGTTGAGCAGTGTGAGCTGTTGTGTTCTCTGCTTGCGCTGGCATCTCCTTGCTGCCTCGTGAAGGAGGCATCTCCTTGCTACCTCTTGATGGGGCAGAGGCAGGTGCAGGTGTTGCAGGCGCGACATCTGATTGTGCCAACACATTAAGAAGTGAGTGGGCAGAGGGTGCCTTCCTTGTGGGGATGGATGGTCGCTTGGCATCGCCCTGATCCTGTTGGTCTGATGGTGAAGCCTGTGGGGTGGTTGGTGCAACAGTGGGAGGCGACACTCTTGTTGGAGGTTGTTTGGCTGCACCTCCGTTCTGGGGCATGACTGGCACGCCAGGCTTGACCATCGCGATCTTCCTGATGGGCACTGTTGGTTGTCCAGGTGTGGATTGTTCGCCACTGACTGAAGGAGTCCTAGTGTGGCCGCCACCAACTGGCTGTGTCTCGCCACTTGCCCGCCTGCTAAGCTCTTGCTGCAATTGCTGTTGCTGTTGCTGTTGTTGCTGGACGCTGCTGTTGTCTGCCTTTGTTGTTGTCACTGGCAGTATGTCGCTTGAACTAGGTCTCTTGACGATATCGATGTCTGATGGACCATTCTTGAGGCCAATATCGCTGGTGTTCTTCTGTACGACCTTGGGAGGTGGCTTGCGAATGAGCACTCCTTGAGGCTGCTCAGTGGGTGGAGCAGTCGCACTTGTCTTCTTGAGAATGCTCTGGTCGATGACTGGTGTTGATGGCGCAGTAGTCGTCGATGACTGTGGTGGGGCGACATTGGTCGCGCGGAGAGTGTCCCTGCGCACGGGTGGCTGCTTGAACACTGGCACACCAGCCATTGGCTTCATGGTGCTGGTGCCTGTGGGAGTGGAGTTGGTGGAGCTGTTGTTGGAGGCTGCAAGGTTGAGCTGTGAGCCAGAGTTGGTGTGTTGATGCTTGATTTGGTCGAGTGGCTGGAGCTTGAACTGAGGTGCAGTGGTGGGCTTTGGGATGGAAGTGCGGTCAGTCGACTGCTGCTCAGTGGTTGTCTGTGACACTGGCACTGGCTGTTGCTGATTCTTATGTGAGAGTGAGGTTGGTGCTGGTGGGGTAGGTGATAATGTGATATTGCTGTTCCTGCTGCTGGTTGGTGCAGGAGGCGATGGCGTAAGGATGACGCTGTCCTTCTTGGAGATGGTGGATCGTCGCGAGGGATTCTCTGCCAACTTGGATGGCACCACCACCTTGGAGCCTGGCTGGGCGGCGCCCATCATAGGCAGTGCGATCATCGACTTGGAGACGAGATGTGGCTCGGACTGCGTGCGAGTGAGGTCGAAGCGCCTCTCCTCCTCTGCGCGCTCCTTCTCCATCTCTTTCTCGGTCTTGAGCGTCTTGACCTGGTCCGACGGCTTGATGGCCATCTTTAGGCGACGCAGTGTGCCTGTCAGTGTCTCACGGTGCTTGCCGCTGCCACTGTGGCTGTGAGTGTGTCCAGACTCTGCGCTGTGTGTCGGGGATGTGGGCTCCGAGAAGCTCCCCTGTTGGCTGATCTGCTCGGGAGACAGCGGGGGCCCGGCCGTGGACTTTCGCTTGTCCCTCGAGTCCAGCAGTGAGTTCAGTCGCTTGAGTGGACGTGGGCGACTGAGCAGATGTGGTGATGAGCTAGACTTGGACTCCTTGCTCGGGGTAGGGGTGGGCTCTCCCTTATCGTTCAGGCCGATAAAGTCGAAGCAGAACAAGCATACCCTCACCGGCTTGTTCTTCTTGACATGTGGTACCAGTCTCTTTGAAGGGCTACATGTGCCACATACCACCTTTCCACAGTTCCTACAGTGATGCTATGATTCATTGATTGATTGATAGAGAGTGAGTGAGGTGTTGGATATGGTGCTTACTCGCCAATACATACCCTCCTGTTGATGACTGTGAATGCTCCATTGCAGAACATGCACTTGGAGGCCTCCTTGTCTGGGACCCAAACTGGGACCTCCACTGAGTCCAGGTCATGAAGGTTGGTATTGGTCGCACCTTCTTGAGCTAAAGATGATGGTGATGATGTTCCAAGTCAGCAATCATGTCATCCACTCAATATCCGCCAAATGACACATACTTATCTTCATTGACAACATGGAGAAGTCGTCCAGCCAGTGGTTCTTCTCCTTGACAGTGTCGGTGTAGACAGTGAATGACTTCTCAGTAGAGCTGATGATCTGGAAGGCATTCTTCTGGTTGTCCTTGTCCTTGAGATCCTTGATCTTGATGTCGTTCAAGTTCATCATTCGATGGAAAATGAAGGTGTTTGGTGCGCCACTTGTGCTTGGCGCTGTGAACGATGTGTTGGTAGTGGTGGTCGACTGGATCATCGGTGTGACGCCCTTGCTCGTATATATCAAGCAGTCCGAGAACAAGAAGAACCATCTAGGCTTGGGCACCTTGCGGCATACCTTCATCATTGATCCCTCTCTAACAAACACGCGAGTGTCCGTGATGATCTGTTGATTGAATGATTGATTAAGTGTTAGTCGATGTTAGGTCGATCAATCAATCAAACATACCTTTGGTCCACCGATCATGTCATTCTGGATCTTCTGCACCTTGAGCTTGTTCTCATTCTTCCTGATCTCTTCGTTGAGTATCTTTGTTGTCTGTGTGATCATCTCAAGGGCATCCCTCAGGTCGATGTAGTCCGGATGCAGCTGCTCAGTCTGCTCAACAATCTCTGACAACAACATCTTCATCCTCGGCATCCTTTGTACTGGCATGATCTGGATATATTTAATGTTAGAATCGACCAATCATTCAATCAATCAATCAAACAAAGTCCTGGACTTACAAGGAAAGATGTTAGATCCAGTCTGGACTGCTTCTGGCTGTCTCTGACTGTCTGCATAAAGGTTACAAAGGTTGGCTTCTTGTCGACCAGTTTGGCAATGAGGTCCAGGGCAGTGCCATGATTCTTTCCATACTCGATGTAGTCTTGGTAGTTGTTCCTGTGGTTGAGTATTGGCTTGCCGACATTCTCCGAGCCAGCCTCTAGCTGCTCCTCAAACTGTGAGAGCACTGACTCGCTCAGCTCCTTAATCTTCTCAATGCATGAGAATATGGCTGTTATATTCTCTGGTTCCAATATTGGAGGTTTGGTGATCCTCAATGGCTCCAAGTAGTTCTACACATTGTGATAACGTGCGCGAGTGTGTTGGTTAGTTGTTCACGCCACGCCACTCCATGCCACGCCACGCCAGGCCATTCCAAACTAACTTACACCAATGACATTGTTGAGATGTGAGAGGTATGCTTTCTCTGAGCTGATGACCTCTCTTACTAGCTTGTTGCGATGTGTGAAGCTGCTGTCATACTCCTCGAGTGGCTCGGGAACACTGCCCACGCTGCTGACATCAACACTCTCTGACAAGGCCATCGTGGACTCTGTATCGTATATCTCTTGGCTTTGATTGAAGTGGTTGCCAGAGGAGTATCCCTTTGGTGTTGATCCACCGTCCTCCTCCACTTCTCCATTGGCATATGATGATGAGTAACTATATTCAGAGTCATTATTGTTGTTGTGGGTGTCTGGTGCAACTGCCTCACTATAGCCCTCTGTATTCACATCGACTGGATAGTCATATGCTTCACCCTCCACTCCTCCTTCCAGGTGTTCCTGCTCTTGATGTTCATGCTCTTCCTGCTGTGGGTATGAGTCGTCCATCATTCCTTCCTTCCTCTCCTCCTTTTTGGATTGATTGATTGCTAATGATTGATGTTGATATTGATGTGATTATTTATGTTGATGATGATGTACACGCCGCTTGCTCTTAATAAATAGAATAAATAAGGTTGTTGGGATATTAATGTACAGGTTGATTGATTGATTGTGTCTCTTCTCTCTCTTGCTATGCTACACTGCTGTTGATGCTGATGTTGCTACTCAGACACATGTATACAACCAACAAGGTTGCAATAAATAATAATAAATATAGTAATAATGTTAAAGTTATAGACTGTTTGCTATATTAAAGCAAAGATATATATCTGTTTGATTGATCGATTTGAATGAATGAATGAATGAATATGAATGAATAAATAAAGACTTGTATCTGTATAACTATAACTTTGAATATGTTGTATGATTTACTTCCTTCCCTCCTGATATTCAATCAAACAGCAACAACAACAACAACAACAACAACTAGAATGAATGGATGGATGTGGATCAAGATTGATGTGGATGATGGTCACTCAATCACACCTCTCCTTCATTCCCAAAGTGCTTGATTGAGCCGATGGTTCAGTCAAAAAAATCAGACAAAGTGTGTTTTTGGTTGTTCTGGGCACCACAAACATCAGATTTTTATTTTGAACCAAACATTGCAATGTTTGTGTCCATACCATAGGACATGTAGCAAATTACACCTAAGTTATTCGTATTATACTTATATGTAGAAATAGATACATAATATAAGTTTGTTGACATACATATATATATTTGTGATCATATATTGACTTGAGTCAATAAAACAGTACTTAATCAATCAACCAATACAAGGCCATGACGATTACAATAATGGGCATGGTTTTGTGATAACCCCAAAATGATAGATGGGTTTTGGTTTGAAAAACTTGTGAAACAAGGATCCAACCCTAAAAACAGTACTTTTACATACCAACACACTGTTGGTTGCATTAGTCGTCTTCAATTTAAGATACAGATACATACATATACATTCATACTTATACATACATACATACATATATATTATATACATACAAGAATGGCAAAGTTCAAATTGGGTAACTGGGCTGCGATGATTGTACTATGTACTTCATATAGTATGTTCAATCATTCAATCATTCAATCATTCATTACTTTGATGATGGACTAACAATGTTCACAACAACTAGTATTGGTAGCAGTTGGTATCATGGCAACATTCTATCCAAGACAGTTTATTGGTATATATGCAATGTGAGTAAAGAACATAATAACAACAAAGGTTGATTGATTGATTGATTGACTGACCAATAACAACAACGACAACAATAACAGTATTATAGGAGTATTGTTGTTCCCTTTGACATGGGGATTCAAGTTCTTAGGTCCACTGCGAGCGATATTCCAACAATATATTGTAGCGGCTATTCTATGTCTGGTGTATGTTAATTTTATAATGATTATGATGGATGATAATGATGGATCACTCACTCACTCACGCATACTCTCATCAACATAATCAATCAATCAATATAGACTGAGCGCACCATGTTTCTTTGAAGTACCAACAGTGATTGGTGGAGCATGTTTGGTTATTGCGAGTCTCATCTATGCCATATCAGCATTCATTGGAGAGAAGGGCGATTACTTTGACAAGAGTGCATAATATTGTTATTTATTCAATTACCATCGCGACAACAACAGACTCCAACCTCGCTAGAGTACTCATATTTGTACTATACACAAACCTTATTATAATAACAACAACAACTCTCTCTCTTTGGTTGGTAATACATACATTCAATCATTCATTCATTCATTCATTCATTTGAGGACAATCATTGCAAAGATGTGATCTCATCTCAAACACAATCTTTGAAATTGAACACTTTTTGCATAGACATCATCATTGATTAGTTAGTAATTCTGATTCAACAACATATACATATAGAGATATAACAATGACAACAACAGCAACGACTGATGTAGTAGTAAAGATATCAAACCTTTCATGGCTACATGGAAAGTGGAGTGGACCTGGAAACGGTATCTATCCAACCATCAAGCCATTCAAATACACAGAGAACCTCAAGTTCAAGTTCAATGGCAAGCAGATTGAGTACAAGTATGATACTATCATCATCATCATCAACATCATCAACATCAATAATACTAATACTCAATCAAACAACACACAAGACAAACTACACTGAGTGCAAGTGGACAGTTGATGCACTTTGAGACTGGACTGGTTAGAGTTCTTCCAACTGGAAGGATTGAGATGACTATTGTACAGGGCAGTGGAGTAGCAGACTTTTATGAGGGTACATTGGAGACAAAGGATAACATGACATCGTTGACATTCAAGATGACACATATCAGTAGATCACCATGTGCCAGAGAGCCACATGTTACCAACGCACTTCGTCAATTCACGCTCGACACCTCCAACAACACTCTCCACGTCTACATGGAGATGGCAACAACTACCACTCCACAACTAGTCGAACATCTTCGTAGTGAACTCAAGAAGTTGCAATAAACATGCGAGCATGCTGTCAGACATAAGTTAAGTTATCCATCGAGTGTTTATTGGTTGCACTGGCAGTTGACTTAGAACTTGAGGGCGTGTGGGAACTCACCGGAGCGGAGGAAGAACTTGGTCTTCAAGTAGAGGCACAACTCCTTCTGACCCTTGAGGGCGGCCAAGATGGCGGCATCGACGGCCTTCTGGTCGGCAACGCGAGCCTCTGGGAGCTGCTTCTTCTCCTTCTTCTCGGTCTTCTTCTCGCCGTCCTTGAAGAACTCGCCCTCGGACTTCTTGGTGGTGGCCTTCTTCTCGGCACSGGAAGTAGGCGTCGTTGATCTTCTCGTCAACCTTGACGTTGGCAATGTTCACCTTGGTGGAGGTGGCGATGACGTAACGCTGGTCAATACGTCTCAAGGGGACACCGTTCATTCTGAATGGACCTGTAAGAGTTGGATGCAAACAGATAGGGAGTATGGTTGGTTAGAACCACTGATGATTCAAGTAGGTGATGGGTAGGAGGCGAGCGGATGCGCATGTACGGACATCATATCGACACGCCATCAAGACATCAGCATCGTCCACCATGCAAGAGAGGGAGCGATGAGGATGCAGATGTGTGGAGTAGCGAAAGAACGAAGCGAGCTAGTCTATTGCCCCGGTCCATCGAAACTATGCGATGCGGACCAGGACGAGACTGTTGTTGCCCGTCGTCTGACGTCTAGGGGGTGATGCCGATGCGATCCGTCGTTGATCCTCCTACATATTTATCACCTACGATGATCATAGTATGTCGTGTCGACGATGTTGTGCGATGGTCGAGGCGGGGTGAGTACTTACCGGTGATCAACAAGAGACCAGAGGTGAGCTGCTTCAAGAAGACAACACGCTTGCCAGCGAAACGACCGGCAACGACGATGAGGACGGTACCTGGGGTGATGGACTTGCGGAGGGAGATTGGGGCGACGCTGTGAGCACGGTTGGCAGCACGGACCTCACAAGCATCAACTGGGGCGTATCTTGGGACCTTCTCCTTGAGCTGGACCTTCTTGCCTCCCTTGATGGTGGCCTCACGGACAACTGGGGCTGGGGCAGCCTTCTTTGGGGTGACGACCTTGTTCTTCTTGCACAAGTAGATGCGGGTACGCTTGGCGAGGGTACGCTTGCTGAACTTGCGGAGGCCTGAGGCAACGAGTGGGTTTTCAATAGCCATTTGTGAGTGTCTGTGGTATCGATTGCGATTGATTGATTGGTATTAGAATGATGTTGATACTAGGATGATGATATCATTGATGATTGTTCGTCATTGTATAAGTCCTACCTGTGGATACCTGTTATTCGATGGATTCTGGAATGAATGGTCAATTGAATGAAAATCGCTCGCTATCACATCAACTGGTCGTGGTTAGTGCATGAGAGTGTAAAGTCGAAACAAAAAAACAAAACTTCAATTAATTATAAAAAAAACAAACTTGATTTGACCTCTAGAAGTTCGTAAATAATCATACAATGATCTGAAATGATGGTTAAATGAATGAATGAATGTAAGGAATAACAGTTCATTTGGATAATAGACCCATTATATATACACACCAACTTTATATAAAAAGGATATGATCTAAGGTTTATCAAATCAAGCTTGATGACATGTATTCAATTGAAGATGAACATCACCTGTTCGTGAATGATATAAAGAGAAAGAGAAAGAGAAAGAGAAAGAGTAATGTAGGAGTGAATGAAAGAATGAATGAAGGAAAGAGAGACTTCCCACTATCTCTGAAAAAGGTAATAGGAGATGTGAGTGTGTGAGTGTGTGTTGGACATAGTGACCATGTCAAAGGGACAACATCTGGAGACTGGACTGGACCATGTTAGTAAGTCCGACATCCTTAATAATAATAATAATAATAATAATAATAATAATATTAGTATCTATTACATTTCCAAAGATAAATAATATATAAATAATCAATCAAATAGATTAGTATTAATAAGAGAACAAACAACAAATGGATGACAACAATAATAATATTGATAAAGTTGAGATTGATACTCAGCAACAACAAGAGGATCAATCAAARGAATGAGAAAGAAGTTCCACCAATACCAAATATCCCATCAATCAAAGTGGATGAAGTCAGTTTAGAATCATTGGAAGACAATGATAATGACAATGACAATGATGGTGATAAARGTTGAGAAACATTCAAAAGTAGGAGAGTTGAGTCCATCATCGAGACGACTCAAAGATAAATCAAAGGACAGTGATAAATACTTGGATGAGATATTATCACCTAGTTCTCCAATTGGACAATTCAAGAAGAGCATTGATGACCGACGACATCGATTCGTAGACCAAAAGATGTTGGCCAAACTCAAAGTCCTCGAGTTTGTAAACAGCAGGCGAGAAGAATTCGAGCAACTCCTTCTCAAGAAAGGCGCCTCCGACCTCCTTCGCACCGGTGACAAGTTGGCCTTTGTCATGGGTATGTGTTCCATACCATCATTCATTCATTCAATCAACTAATCATTCATTCAATCAATTATTCAAACATGGTAGGTGTATTGAACTTATGTATAATATCCTTTGTATATGGCCGCGCTCCGAAGTATATCCCGGATGTATTTGCGGTGGAGTTCTGTCTTGGATTTATACTGAGACTGTATTCATATCGCAAGAAGAAGCAACATTACTTCCTCTTTGACTATTGCTACTATGCCAACTTCATGCTACTTTGGTATACTCATGGACCCGAGTACGTACGTAGTTCCACCGTCCTCTTCAAGATATGTTTCAGTTTCTGTAATGGTCCACTAATGTGGGCAATTGTTGCTTGGAGGTATGTAGTCCATCCATCCATCCATTGATTGATCGAGAATGATAGATTGACCATTTTGAACAAACTTAGGAACTCATTGGTATTCCATTCACTTGATAAGGCCACTTCAGTATTGATACATATACTGCCAGCTATTGTTACGGCCAGTGTGAGATGGCATATATTACCAGCGACTCATCCAATTGATAAGGAGTCATTGACGGCAACTTGGACAGAGACATTCTGGATACCAATGTTCTTTTACTTGCTCTGGCAGACTATATATGTATATGTTATGTTGTTGCGACAGAATACTATACGTGAGAGAAACTATATAACTACATTGAACTTCTTGACCAATCATCAAAGCAATAGTATAGTCTCACGTATACTCAACATCCTGCCAACCAAGAAGGTCTACATATTCATGCTATCACAACTACTCTACACCATCCTCACCATGCTACCATGCAAGATACTCTACAACAACATGAACCTTCATCTCGGATACATTGTCTGCATGCTATTGGTGTGCATTTGGAATGTGAGTAGTACCCTGACCTCTCATTCATCCATTCAATGGATTGATTACTAACCTTATCTTATACGACAGGGCGCCAACTATTATATTGAGTTCTTTAGCACTCACTATGTTAAGCAACTGAAGGAGAAGGAGCAACGATGGAAGAAGACTATTGTGTCGTCGTTTGGTGCAGGTGACATGTCACCAATGATGCAATCATCCACAAACCAATCAACAACATCGGACAACGCAATCGGTGAAGTAGGCTCCTCGCCCCAGCTCCTGTCGGTTGGTGGAGATGGCAACAACTGATTGGATTTGATTGGATAGATGGACCATGTGGATAAGATTAATTGATTGATTCATTGATTGAATAAGAATTAATTGACGGCTGGCCAGTCAGCCGTTGTTTGATTGTTAACAAACATTAAACTTCCTTTTGACAAAGGGAGAGACACAGGGTCATGTGACCATACCATACCATACCATATCAAGTGATGCCACACTTCAAAGATCCAACCAATATTACATCTTACAAATGCAGGTCAAATCATTCAGGTTGCAGGTACACTTCGCCATGGAATTGACATTGACAGTCTGTCTGAATGATCATTCAATCAGAAGTGATAAATATAGACGCACTAAGTGTTGTGTGTTGTGCTTATACATACGTGTGAGATGGTACTGCTTGCTGCTGTGTAGATGTTGGGTCATCTACAGATGTTTCCCATTTAGGTAATAAATGACTGAATAGAGCGATCAGTTCAGTTGTCTGTCTGTGTGTGTGGTATGTTTGTGTCCTTTCAACGTCTTGATGCATGGATGGAGTCAATCCGGCGGAGTGACACAAAGCAAGAGGCAGGCCAACAAGTGATTGAATGCTCACTCATTCATATCACATCATATCATTGACATTCATCATAAGTCATTCTGTTTATTCGTGCAGAGCATAGATAAGCACAGATCATCACCCACTACACACAGCAACACAACACCAAACGCACCGAAGATCAAAAAACTCTTGTGTTTGGAACTACCCCCACACCAATTCCCACAATCACCTGAACGATCACCCCGTGTGTGTCATCAAATCAAACAAACACACTCACATTCGCCCACACAAGCAACACACAGCTAACACCACTTTGGAGAATTAATGCCACTCACAGCTTGATGATGTCCAACCACAATGATGTTTATGTGTTGATCAAACAAGCTGATGAATGTATCGATCACTCACTATCACTCCAATGTGTATGAATGAATGAATGCATGATTGACTGTTGTGTGTGAGTGTTCGCGAGTGCTCTTGGACATACCAATCAATTCTTTGTCCATGATCGACAGCTCAGCTAAGTCACTGACTGACAGTGCCACGGCTAAATATAGTGTGGCCACCATTGATCAGCACCTGCCAACAGCTCCTGATGTTATTTTTGGTAGGTAGCCTGTCCATGACCCGGGCTCAATCCACCAATATATATAAACATGGAATGATCCATTCCATTTCATAATCAGTCAGTCAATCAGTCAATCAGTCAGTCAATCAGATTTAAATAAGCAACAACTACAACAACAACAATTACATCAATAACAATTACATCTCATCGATCGACACTTATACTTAACACTCATTCATACACTCATACACTCAATCAATCAATCAATTATAACATTCGATCAATCAATCAATCAATCATACCATCTCACTACCACCCATCATTCAATCATACATCTTATGGATTTTGAAGATCAACTGTATACTACCCTTACTTATAATATGAACGAGAGAATGAATAACTCCAACTCCAACTCCAACTCCAACAACTCAAACAACAATCACTTGAACAGCATGCTCCATCATTTGAACAATAGTTATAATATGAAGGAGAGTGTAAACAATCACGTGCTACACTACCACCCATACGCCAAGCCCACCCCCACCATCCAGGTGCCCCAACATCAACTTCTCCACCCACAACAACAACAACAACAACAATATCCAAGCATTTACCAATCTCCACTCATGTCCATGGTGCCCAACTCATCGCCATTCGTGTCGCCACGCGGCTCCACCCCACCCCAACTGTTCCTCTGCTCCACGCCCACAATGACCTCGAGCTCGCCATCGATTGGCGTCAGCTCCGACTCGATCCGCCTCGAGTATGGCGGCAGCCAGGGCGACCTCAGCGAGGCCACCTCGCCCAAGAAGAATGGATTCTTTGAGATGACCGCCAACCTGCTCGACCTTTGCAAGAGGATCGACAATGAGCGTGGCGTCTCGGAGGAGAAGTCCAAGATGCTCACGCTGCTGCACGACGAGCTGGACATCATTGTCAAGCGCATCAACAAGGTCAAGAAGAACAAGCTGCCCTACGCGCCAATATTGCCAGAGAAGGCCAAGAGCGACTTTATCGATCTGCGTCCACGCCGCAACAGACGCTGCAAGTTAGTGCAGAAGGAGAACGAGGACAATTTGCAGTGCTTGAGATGTGGCACCAAGGAGTCGCCAGAGTGGCGCAAGGGTCCAGATGGATGCAAGTCATTGTGCAACGCCTGTGGACTATACTACGCCAAGACCAAGAAGCGCGAGTCAGAGTTGAGTGATAGCAATGGCAGCATCAACATCGCCTCTTCCACTCAACAGTTGGTCACCAAGAAGCAAGCACCATTGAGCAGCATTATCAACAGTGGCAGTGGTAGCAACAGCAGCACTTCGTTGATCAGCATCAATAGTTTGATCAACAATTGAATTGATTGATGAGTTCCAGGTCCTGTCCAAATCCAGCCCCACTCACTCAATCATTCAATCAATCAATCAATCAATCACATTTTTCACCTAACCAACTCAACACAATTGTAACAGTAGTCAATCAATCAATCACTCCATACATCAACATCAACATCCAAATAATATCCAGCAATCTACAATTTTGATTGCCATCATTCGTCCAATCCCAAGTCCAATCAAGTTCAATCCAAGTGCATTCCAGCGAGTCCTCAAATTGTACAATCTGCTCGCCAACAATCAATGTTGTACATTAAGTTTTACAATAACCTTCACATTAGAATAAACTATTCTGTCCCCTTTGGTTCCAACCATATATATCATTATCATTCTCTATCTCTTTATCACTTGATCTCAAACTCAACCCATACCCTTACCCTTGCCCTTGCCCTCACACACTTCAGTCGTTCGTTCGTTTTTCATTCAATTCAAAATAAATAAATAAATTAAAAGAGTTGTGTGTGAGGAGATGATTTTGAGAAACGACCAAGTCGATGATTGAGTATCACGCTCATCTCTTTATCTCTTTCAAAAAGTGTAATAATAATATATAACACATCACATACAATTCATACAATATATAATAATAGAATGTCAGAAACAGTTGATACAGCGTCAGTAGCTACTAATATAGAGGCACCTGTTAAGGAGATTGCATTGGCCTCAATCGATAAGGAAGTAAAGAAGAACAAGAGAGCTAGAGATGATGACAATGACATCGATCAGGATATGGCCGATACAGGTCCAAACAAGAAGCCAAGCTTCCCTCAGATTACAGTTGAAGATAATGTATGTGTCTATTATCATTGATTGATTGATTGATCAATATGCTAACGTGTACATCATCATTATACAGGGAGGAGTACAAATTAGAAAGATTACAATCCCACCCAACAGAATGGCACCACTCAAGGGTAACTGGCAACAGATCTATGAACCAATCGTCAACCATCTTAAGCTACAAATCAGAATGAACCTTCAATCAAAGAAGGTCGAGATTAGAGTATGTGTCCTAAACCTTTGATTGAATGATTGATCGACATCATTATACTCACTCATTCACTCAATCAATCAATCTTAGACATCAGAGGGTACACTGAATCCAGGTGCATTGCAGAAGGCCTCTGACTTTGTACATGCCTTTGCTCTTGGTTTCGAAGTTAATGTAGGTTTGAGTTAATCGATGGAGTGGATGAAGACACGCGACCAACTTGATGTCCATCATACTGACCCTGATCCCATCATGAACACACAGGACGCCATTGCTCTGCTGAGGCTCGACGATTTATATATAGACTCATTCGATATTGAAGATGTAAAGACACTGAAGGGAGATAACCTGTCACGTGCTATAGGACGTATTGCTGGAAAGGACGGCAAGACCAAGTTTACCATTGAGAACACTACCAAGACAAGAATAGTGTTGGCTGACAAGTATGTTGATGAATTGATTGATTGACTTAACTGATCGCCTAACACATCCATCCATCCAATCCCAATCAATCAGACGTATCCATATTTTAGGATCATATGCCAATATCCGTGTTGCCAAGGACGCCATCTGTAACTTGATTATGGGTTCGCCGCCTGGAAAGGTCTACGCCAAGCTTAGAACTGTGGCCACACGTATCTCTGAGAGGTTCTAAAAGGCGAGCTTGCGCGAGTCTTGCTCCTCAATCCACACACACGCAATCATTGACATCAATAACAATAACACATGGTGTTGTTATCCTTTAAACTTAAGTTAACTTTATTATGAGTCGACAGCGACGATGGCGAGGACTACGAGGACTACGACGACTTGGCCATGGCGTCATTGAGGATCTTGCGAATTGATGGAGTCTGTCTTAGGAGCTCGCGAGCAGCACTTGGCGATTGGAAATGGCCGGAAGCCAATAACAGGGCCACTGGAATGATGTGAGTGATGTTGTTGCGCTCGGCATGCTCGATGTGTTTGTAGACTGGCGCAGTGTCGATGTCGGCTGGCACTGGCGTGTCCTTGTCCAGGCTGTATACTGAACGGAGTAGACACTGTCTGGCGGTGTTGTCGTCTACGCCAAACAACTTGGCAACAATGCCACATGATCGATAGTATAGCTTGTTGTTTGTCAATCCCAAGTCGATCATTCTGTTTCCAAACACCTTGCCGGCCAGTACAAAGCCACCGGTCGTCACTGCGTTCAATATCCACTTCAATGACATCTCGATATATGATGGCACGCCATCAATCTCCTTGAATGGTAGTTGGATGTTGATGTTTGTAGTTTTGTTCCCAAGGACCAGCTGTGTAAAGGGGGGATTGGTCGCGGGGAACATGATCAAGTGAATACTTGGTATGTTGTCGTATGTTTGATCTCGTTTGATAATGGCCGTGACTATTGGCGCGAGGGCAATGAGATCGATGCCGCCAACAGCCACTGGTGGCGCGATCAAGATGACTGTGTCGCGTGAGGTAAGAGTTGGGATGATCTTGTCTTGGAAGTGAGCCTGGGAGATACAGTACTCCTCAGATATGTGTGAGTGATCACCATCGGCGTTCTGCATTGCCATCCATCCACTCTTGCCATCGGCCGAGTCCAGTATGAATCCACGTACGTCAAATGCACCAGCGCCAAATGTTGGAACTGTCTCTGAGGCGTCGACAAAGCCGACCACGCCAAGACTATCCTGGCCCAGGTAGTATACATGTCCGCCACTCAGCAATGAGTGTCCGGCTGCTGCAACCAATGGCGCGATGGTGTCCTCATGTCTGTATGTTGCACGACACACTTGCTCGTACTCATTCAATCTGTTGATGATGGTGGCGTACACGTCGATATCTGGATTGCTCGACATTGATATCGAGAGTATGAGCTCCAGGAGGATCTTGGTCGCGCTTCCAGACTTCATTCGCGTCGATCCAGTGAGTGGCTCGGGTCCGACCACAGGGTTGATGATGAAGCGCTTCGTGGGTGCAGTACGCGCGCTCTGCTCCAAGGCGCGTGCCACATCGGCAAAGGACTTGTCCCACTTCTCGATTGGATTGACTCGTGCCAACTCGATCGGATTGAAGCCCATCAGTGAGATGATATGACGTTGAGAACTGCTGTCACAGCTGAGCAGTCTGTCAATCTGGCCGGCTACATAGGGTGCGCTGAGGCCGCATGTCACACCGATGTACACGACTGTGGAGTTGGGTCGCGCGAGTATGGCGTCGATGTCAGTGACGGCGCGAACGAGGTCGTCCTCCGCGCCTTCAATGCCAACAGTGAGTGCTCTATCTCCACCAGCGATGAGGTAGTGGTAGTTGACGTTGTTGGTCAGATGTGGTGTGGACCAACGTCTGGCAGAGTTGGCCAAGAAGAAGGCCAGACGTCCACTTGTGCCAGCACCGGCGACCACGATATCCACAGTCTTTTTGCCGTCACTGCGACAAGACTGATGTATAAGATCACGGATTGATTCAATCATATTGGTCAATGTTTGAATTGAATCATTGTCGTTCAGACCAGAGTGATGTCTGTAGCCACTAAATATCTGGCCATCAGTCTGTCTAAACAATCTGATCATCTCCAGTGGTGACACACTATCCAACCCTGTCGTCAACTCATTTGGTGTCTCTGTTATTGCTTGCATATCCTATCTCTCTAACTTTCTATGTAATATGTTTGTATTTTGGAAGACGAACGATGATCATCTTTGTAAAGATTGATTGAAATGAACAATTTCGATCACTTATTTGATAAAATATCTACTTTATGATCAAGATTGTTGCAATAGCAACAACCCGTAACTCTCTGTCATATTGTTAATTGTCCGAGTTTACTGTTCAACAATATCTCCTTCTTCTCCCCAACGTGTTGGCCTCCCTTTCCCATGAGAAACCAAGTCTGGTGGGCTCAACCTCTGCTAGACTTTATGTTCAATTAGAGATTGGATGTTTATCGTGTCCATTCTCTATAATCACCTAATCAATCAATAATTTATCTTTTATTTCTTGTTGATTTTTTAAAATAACAGACTTTGTAATATATGTTAGTTAGGCAAAGATAGTCTTGGGATTGGTGGTATTGTTTGTGATCAACACTTTGGGTGAATGAGTGAGTGGGTGTGCGAACTGATTGATGATCATTGGGGGGAATGGGTCTAGTTGCATTCCCAAATAGCCCATAACCTATCAGAGTCAATTTCATTCATTACATCTTACCGTTCAACTTCGACACATCTTAAGAGATAACAACCAGTGTGATCACACTCACTCAATCAATCATTCATTCATTCAATCAATCAATCAATCAAAATCAAATATAAGATACAAACAAAGATTAAGGAAGGAAGAATGACAAAGGAAATGATTAAAGTTAACAACGAGCATAGGATAAAGACACATATCAACAGTTTGCCTGTGAGATTGTTGTTGGGCCCAGGTCCATCGAACTTGCACCCACGTGTCAACCAGCAGTTGTCCACAAACATGGTGGGCTACACTGATGCCGGCTACTACCAGGTGATGGACGAGACCATGGAGATGTTGCGCTACCTCTTCCAGACCAACAATCACTTCACCATCCCCGTGTCGGGCGCAGGCACCGCCGCCATGGAGGCCTGCGTGGCCAACTTGATCGAGCCCGGCGACAACGTAGTCTGCTGCGTGGCCGGCTACTTCTCCGACAGGATCTACCAGATGGCCCAGAGATACGGCGCCAACATCCACAAGATCGACAAGAAGTGGGGTCAGTGGGTGACGCTCGACGAGATCAAGGAGGCACTCATCAAGCACAAGCCTCGTCTGCTCACAATGGTGTTTGGTGAGACGAGCACAGGCATCAAGCAGGCAATGGACGGTGTTGGACAGCTGTGTCGCGAGCACGACTGTCTACTGATGGTCGACGCTGTTGCCGCGTTGGGCGGTGTGCCCTTCTTTGCCGACGAGTGGAAGGTCGATGCATGTTACACTGGCGGCCAGAAGTGCCTCAGTGGCCCACCAGGCATCAGCCCTCTGACGTTCGGCCCACGCGCATGCGCCAAGATCGCCGCCAGGAAGACACCCGTCGCCAACTGGTACCTCGACGCCAACTTGCTCGCTGGCTACTGGTGTCCAGAGTACAACCTGAGCGACAGCAGTGTCGCCTCACCCAAGCCCCTGCGCAGATACCACCACACAACACCTGCCAACTTGATATACTCTTTGCGTGAGGCCGTGCTGATGGTGTGCGAGGAGGGTCTGGAGAATGTGTGGGCACGTCACCAGGATGCCGCCAAGGAGCTGTACAAGGGTCTCGAGTCGATTGGTGCTGCGCCACTGATCCCCGACGGTGAGAACAGCTATGAGCAAGGTGGTCGTCTGTACAGCTTGACCACCGTTCAGGTACCAGCTGGTGTCGATGCCAAGCTTGTAATGAAGTACCTTCTGGACAACTACAACATCGAGATCGCTGGAGGTCTTGGCGAGTTTGCTGGCAAGGTTTGGAGAGTTGGGTAAGTACTACTCTGCCCCATGTAGGTCACAGGACGCAGTCATACTGACCCATCAATCATTCAATCAATCAATCAATCAAACACTCCAGTCTGATGGGATTCAATGCCAACAAGCCAAATGTGAGGTTATTGATTACAGCATTGGCAGAGGCCATCAAGTCAGTCAAGGCCAACTAATTAAATGAATGAACGAATGATGGATCGATGAAGTTGTTGATCGATTCATTGATTGTGGACAATGACATCGATTGGTTTATTGGTAACTCACCATTTAGTATTACCAATAATGGTTGGGTACACCTGGCCGTGGCCGACACTCATCTCTCTCTCTCAATCTCTACTTCTTCTTCTCGGCCTGTTCGTTGATAGCCACGATATTGTGTGACAATGCAACCATCATTTCAATGAATCCATCTTTGTCTTGAATACTACTTGGGAGCTCAATGTTCTTGAACAGATCCCTTCCAATCTCACCTTGAGCAGAAGTGGTAGTGCCAGAGGCAGTCAAAGGATTGGTGAAGGTTGTCACACATATCTTTGGTCTAGGAGGTGGAGGGCGTTCGGGACCATACATGGGCAGGGTATTGGCTTGGCATTGTCATTGGTAGTTTGGTCGTTGACATGTGTGGACTGTGAAGAGAGATCAACTTTGAAAGTTCTAGAGTTGATTATACTCTTCTCTTGTGGTGGTCGGCTACAACTTGTTGCCACATTGGCCATAAGATCACCAATTGTAATATTAGGTCCTTGAGTTTGATCATGATTTGGTCCAAACACCAAAGGTTTGTCCAAAGATATTGGATCATATAATCTAAACAAAACTGATCCCTTCTTCTCATTATTATTATTATTATTATTACTCATTTTGGATCTAATAAAAACATTAAACAAACAATGATATTATTCCTCAACTTTATCCCTATTTATCTCTATATATACACTACAATGACTTAACAAGGTGATAGACAAAGTGATAGAGTCTATCAATAATGTTGGGATTTAAACTAAATTGTGAAATTGATTGGTTTGACACAGGGACAACATTGCAAACAGAATATTTAAAATTGAATACTTTAATGTGGGTGTTGGTGAATCCAGACTTAATTATGTTTTGATGGCACAGACCTCAGTTTGCTACTGCCAACACTTGAACTCTTTTTGAACTTGGCCATGTAAATATATGATATCTTCTTCCTATAACATAATATAACTGCTACTATTACAGCCAGGACAACTACTCCAATTGGCACTATAATGGCAATGAGCAACCAACTTGTTTTGGCGGACGGGCATTCCACATGTTGTGTATCGATCAACAATGAGAAGTCTGGATCGATCCTGCATGCTCGACACTGTGGTAGATTGATGCCGATGTAGGTGAGCTGTGATGTGCGCGAACCAGTCGTGTTGATCACTTCGTTGATGATACGTGTAGCGCGTCCATCGGCCAGGGCCACGGGGAGGAAACGACCAAAGTACACCGTGTCCTCAAACCTGACCTTGATGTACGAGAGACTCTTGGATTGCGGGTCGTCGTACGTGGTGGTCGAGTCAAACTCGCATTGTGGCTCCTCGAATTCGGTCAAGTTGGTCATCTGATTGGCAAAGACTGCTCGCAATGAGTTGAGGTTGTTGACGAACTGCCATTCATTGATGTCCACCGTCATCTTGAGTGCGCCAGGTGCGAGGTTTACATCTAGTCCACCAAATGTGAGTGATCTTGCTTCGGTCGAGTACTCGAATGTAACGGCCACCTCCAATGATGAGGCGGGGAGCATTCCATAATGATAGGTTGTCAATGAACCATTGACTGATGTGGTAAAGTTCCATTTGTTGGTCAATATCGATCTGACGACATTGCGAGATAGGTCCAACTCTTGTATCTCCACCAAGTTGAAGTCCAACTTTGAACGACTACTTCCCAAGTTGGTTGATGAGTTTGAAGGTTGAATGACAACATTCGGATTGAGCTGGAACTCACATATCTGACCACCATATCCATTCGAACATTGACATTCTCCATCAACACATGTTCCATGTTTACTGCACTCATATCTTGGTCCACAGTTAAACTCCTTGGTAACAGGGTCTGTGATGATGAGTTAGTCCACGATCAATAAATCAAACAATTCATTAAACTTACCAATGTATAATATGTTGGAAGACTTGAACTGGACACCATTGACAGTGACTGTGAGGTTGGCGAATCCAACTGGCAATGGACCATCAACTTGTGTTAGGATATGAGTGTCATCGCCACTGTGTAGTTGACAATCCTTTCCATTGATGTTGACTGTCATCTGACCCACTGTTGCACCTAATCCAAAGAATCCCTTCAATTGGAGTGTACCACCTTCAGTAGTAAAAGGTGATGCGTATGTAACAATTGGGAAGTCTATGTTGTTGATTGAATGAATAAGTGAGTCAGTGATTGATTGGTCATGAGTGTGGAATTGGATGTAGATACATACTCTGAGTGTAGGCTGATTGGATGAATGATTGATAGGGTGTTGAGATGTTGGCCATCATGGTGACAGTTGGGTCAACTACAAAGGATGTGATGGTACATTGAAGTACATCAACCTTTTGTTGTGTGACAGGGCATGGATGATTGCCAACCACGATATTGTAAGCAAAGAAATCTGGCAAGTGGAATGTACCATTGACAACAACAATCAATGAGTTATTGCTCAAGTATCCTGCAACTCCTTGTACCTTAGTCCCTATATTAATTAATTGAAAGTGTGAATTGAGTGAGTAAGTGATTGAGTGATCGATTGGATGAGGATTAATGAACATACAGTCTGTTGCCCATGAGAATGTCATTGGGATGTTGGAATCTGAGAACTTGATTGTGCTTGTACCAATTCTCTCGATTGCTGAAATACTAGATAATATTGGATATCGCTAATTAATTATTTGATGTTGTCTTTGTGTGTGTATGGATGGAATGTACTTACGACATCTGACTGTTAGCAACCTTCACACTGGCACTAACTTCTGACATGTTTGTTGTTGGTGTTCTGAATCCCAAATTGGTACCAAGTAGTAAGAAACTCTTTGAAGTATCCTTGATGAGATAGAATGTTTTGGACAAACTGACACCTGATATGGCGAGAAGTGTTAGTGTATGATTGAATAACGGGGATTGGATACGATTGATACATACTGCAATTGAAGTTCTGTGGGAATTGCACTTGGCTACCAACAAAGTATTGCTGGGTATAGCTCCAATAGCAGAAGTAACAATTGGGAATATTTTGAATGCCAGTGTTGCGGAAATCAAAGAAGGTAAGTCTGCAGTGTGACTCTAACAGAGGGCCTACTAGATTGGGATTGTCCTTGAGATTCATACTTGAAACATTCATGTAGCTGGGGATGGCACCGGCCATTGTGCCGTTGGTCACAAACAAAGTTGAGAATGACTCCGAGGTATTCTTGGAGAACCAAGTTGTTGGAGGCATTGTAAGACTATCTTTTCCAACTCTATTAAGCATGGACCTGTATTGTATTGTATTGATTTGTGAGTGATTGAGTTATTGTGAACAACTCAATCATACTTACACAGTAGACATATCAAACATATTGGTAATGGGCACTGTATAAGTGTTGTAATACCTAATTATGATCAGTGATTAGCATTGTTGAATGAATTAATGAATGAATGAATGAATTGTTGAGTTGGCAGTATTTACAAATCTTTCAATAAAGGTTGATTGGTCAGATCACTTGGGAATATATTTCCTTTTGAAACACTCCTGTGTAGTTAAGTGAATATAATGTAATGTTAGTCATAGCTCTCACAAACACTGCTCAACCAATCAGATACTAACAATGTCATTAGGCCCGTGCTTACACCCACGAGGGTCACATTGGACATTTCAAGAGAGTTTGTTGTTGTAAAGAGTGAACTATGGAAGTGTTTGGTAAATATTATTTAGTTAGTTGGTCAATTTGGTGATTGATTAATGGCCAGATTGTTGACAAACTAACCAATAAAATAACATAACATACAATGTGTCTACTTTAGGAACTTGGTAATAAGCAGTAACTACCTGGTTCACAGCCAGATAACTAATGATTGAATGAATTTGGATGATTAGTAATTATTTGATTGATTGATTGATGATGGAAAGTTATGCCTACAGAGTTCGAAGATTTGGATATCTCTCTGGTGTAAAGTTGAATGTTGCGAATGCCATCGGTGTTTTTGGATAATTTAATGTCCTGTTGTTTTTGTGATCGATTGCTTAATATATGTGTCTTGTATCCTGAGAGCTAGTACTGACTGTACTTACAATCTTGTTAGGTTTGGATAGGATAAGGAAGGGTCGAAATATACCTGGCTGGAGGTGTCATCTACATAAGAACCAGCAATATTGATATCTGGAATCTTATCAAACATACTTTGTGGAATATCACCTTTGATAGTTTGTCCAAGAAGTCTATATATTGTTGGTGGAAATGAAGTAAGTAAAGAACATTAGTATTGATCAATCAAATAAATCTATGGTTGTCATTACTTACAGATTCTGAAGTTTTAAATAGATTGGGAAACCATTTGGTATAATAATATAAAAATAATTAATCCTATAATTAATAATTATTAGTAATAAATAAATAAAATAAATAATTAAATAAATAAATACTTACGACATCCTTTTGAGATTAATGTTTGCATCGTTGTCCAACATCTGAAGGATATTGGCAGTATTGTTGATAGGATTATTATTACCTGCCAATAATGTAAAAGCAAACAAGTTTGGAAAATATAACCTGTCGATTGGCTCCAGGGGTAGTTTCTGTCCCTTTGGAATATTGGTATTCATATTTCTGTTGTTGTACAATGAATGAATGAAAGAATTAGTGAATATCCTTAACTTTTGGGATGATAATAATAATGCTTACATGCTAAAGAGTGATTCAGTTGTGTCAGTTATGTTCAAACATTGCAAACTAACTGCCCCTGATGAAGAACTCGCCAGTTGGGCACATGATGGATTGACCAAAGTCACATTCTGATCAAACAGGTTAACCAACCATAACAATGATTTGTCTGACATAGTGAGTTTGATTGCGCGATGGAGTGAGTGAGTAAGTTTTCCAAACTGATCAGATGATAATGATGACCTACATTCTTCAGGATCTATTGTTCTTTGACTGTTCACTGATGACATCATCAATGAGAATGTGCATATGCAAAGCAACACCGACAATATCGGAAAAGTGCGTAGTGAGACTACCATGATATGATGGTGATGAGGCAAGTGAACCTTTTAATGAATGATTAATTATTGTGTTCTATATATATATAAGTATGTATATTTATTATCTGTTGTTTGATTAAACCTTATTTGTAAAGAATGGACGAGTGTGTCCTTAGGCTTTGTCCTGTGAACCATCATCATAACGGAATGAAGGTCGAAAAAAAAACACCACAACATGTTATGGTGAAGGCTATCAGTCTAACCATATGCATCATGCCAAACAGTTTGATCATCTCCTCAGAGACACACAAGTCATCAAGATCTTTCCATTTTTAAAATCTTTCGCCGATCCCCAACAAGTGCCACATCATGACATGTTGTACTACATCCAAACTTCCGGTAAAATATTATTACATGTATACTCTTTGGATATTTGTTGGATTATGAAGGTCAATCCACCTCATCATCTTTACGAATATCAAGATGTGTATGATTGACTAAATTGTCCATTGTCAAATAACACAGTCTTTTTCTTTTGGTATCAACAGTAATTAGTTTGTTGTTATTGTTGTCAACTTAGTTGTTTTGATTGTCTCGTTCACTATAAATAACTTAACAACACTTATATCTGACTTGAATCCCAACAAATTCAATTCTGTGCGAGGTGGGGATTCAGTTTATATGAGCGAGGTCCATCCCACGCACAAGTGCACAATAAATAAAATGAGTGTTTGGCATCTCAAAAGAGACATTTTGACTCAAAGTCAACAAAACTGTATGTATATTTTGAGATATTGATTGATCAATTAATAAATAATTATGGTTTGGTCGTATAATAATACAAATGATTGTTATGGATATAGATCTTGATGTAGATTATTGTGGTATTTATTATTTATTTAATTTATAATTTTGGAGTACATTGGACAAATATTTCTTAGATATCACCGACAGCGGTGTGTTGGCTTGGATGGAAGCGAACTCAGAGTCGTATATAGTGATGGTGGACTCTGCCAACTGGTTGTACCATGTCCTTGGAGATTGTTTTGAGGCATCGTTGGACTTGGCCCTCTTCAATGGTTGAATGGTTGGACGATCACCCTCTATGGTTGCACTGATCGCGTCTATGTTTGGTACCATTCCTCCCGACAGGTACGAGTCTATCAACAATGATTGCATAAACTCTGGAGTGAAGCGATGATTGGATCCATCCACGATCTCTTTGACGACCTTGTGTCTATTCTCTAGGCCAAAGTTTGCTAGGCGATCCAACGACCCATACTTATGTAAGAATGCTCCAACGTGTAGAACCTGTGCATGGATATAGGAGGTAACAACTTTTCCAAACAAGTTGACATAGTTATTACCAAATGGGATGGAGTAGGACAGGTATAGGTCCTCAGTGATTCTGTATTGATTGGTCTGTGCCATAAACACCAAGAAAGTGTATTGTTTCCACAACACATTGAGCTGTAACTGAAGGTTAGCGCAGTGTAACAATGAAATGGTAGAGTGACTGTGTATACTAACCTTCTGGACCTCTAGATTGGCGACACTGTAGGGTAGACCCTCAATCCTCTTCCTCAAATCTTGTGACTGAGT